CACACAGAAAAGACTTAAAGAACTGAGATTTGGATCACTGTATACAGAAAGACAGGACAAAACTTGCAGTTTGAACCTACCCGGATTGATTGCCCGATAAAACAGAACCTAGAGGATTGTTTACAGGAGCCAACGTCTACACAAAATGACACTCACAATGTCTGGGACAATCCAAAAGTACTCAGCATACCAAGGACTAGAAAAATGTGGCCGGTTTTCAAGGGAAAATATAACAGATGCCAATTCCAAGGTGGCCCATGTGTTGGAATTATCAGACAAAAACGTCAAAAAAACTATTGTAAGTACGCTCTGCCAGGTCAAGAAAACAACAACAACAACAACAACAACAAACATTTGGAAGGACAAAAGGATAGCCTTTTTCAATAGAGAAACAGAAACTACTTAAAACAAAACAAAACAAAACAAAACAAAAAACACAAGAAAATGCTGGAGCTGAAAAATATAAAATCTGAAATTAAAAATGTCACCAGATGGTTTCAGTAGCATAATGATAATAGCAAAAGAAAAAAATTGTAAACTTCAAAGATAGATCAGATCAGTAGGGGCCAGCAGGTGGCATAGTGGTTAAGGCACTGGCTCAAGTCCCAGTCCTGGAGGCATGAAATTCACAACAGGTGCCTGTGCGTATGTGCCCCAAATCCCAAGGAGAATGGAGAAGAAGGATTGTGGCATGGCCATCCCCCCCCCCGAGGGGTTATTTCTCACTTATTCTTTCTGTCTCTCCAGCAAGTGCATGAATCTCATATATATATATATATATATTCCAAAGAACAAAGAGAAAAAATTTAAGAAAAAATGAGTATAGATATTATAGACCTGTGGGAAAACATTTTCTAAAAATATAATACACAGGGTCCAGCAGGTGGCATGGTGGTTAAGGCTCTGGACTCCTACATGGCCAACCACGGTTCAAGTCCCAGGAACTAGAGGCTTGCTTTGTCTCTCTGTCTCTCTCTCTCTAGTGAGTACCTGTTCCCTACAGCAAATTGTAAAGATAACAATAATAATAAATAAAATTAAAAAAATAATCGTTTAATAAAATGATTTTTAAAAATGTAATATACATGTCTTTAGAGTCCCAGAAGGAAACCAGGAATAGTCCAGGTAAAATACTTGAAATAAAGCCCTAAGGCTTTGCGAATCTGCTAAAAGATATAAATGGACATATCTGAGAGGCTCTGTAAGTCCTAAAAAAGTATAATGTCAATAAAAACCATACCTATACACATTAAAACCTGCTGAAACCCAAAGACTTAAAAAAAAAATTTAAGACAGCTAGAAAAAATAGCATACTATATAAAATGTGATAATGACTGCAATATAGCCATGCAGTAGTACAGAATACTACTCCACAAAAAAGCAACAAACTATTTATGTAATGACTTCAAGAACATTATGCTGAGGGACCAGCAGTTAGCGTAATGGCTGTGTCGCTGGATTCCCATGTAGTCGACCGCGGATCGTGTCCCGGACCCAGTGGCTTAAAACTCACGCCAGGCGTGTGTGCATGTGTGCCCAAGATCCTGAGGGGAGAATGGAGGAGAAGGGATTGCGGCATGATTTCTCACTTTCTATCTCTCTGTCTCTTTCTTTCTGGCGAACACACGCACCCTATAGCAAAAACTTCTCCAAAATAAAAAGAACATTATGCTGAGTAAGAAAAGCCAAATAAAATTGTGTATTTTTATCTCATTCATATAAAATTCTAGAAAATGTATAATAATCTGTGGTGTCAGAGAACAGATGGATGACACCTGGGGATAGGAATGGAGGAGGACAAATTATAAAAATGCATGGGGAGGGGACCAGCAGGTGGCATGGTGATTAAGGCCCTGGACACTTGACCAAGGTTCAAGTCCCGGACCTGGTAGCTTGCTATCTCACTTTCCTTCTCTCTCTCTCTCTCTCTCTATCTCTCTGGTTAAATTAAAATAACTGAATGAATAAATCAAATAAATAATTCTTTTAAAAATGCATGAGGAAATTTGTGGGGTTAGTAGTGTGGGAAGACAATATAGCCACTCCTATATATGGTTTTTAGCTTAGTTTGGAATGACCATTCAGAGAGGCTGCAGCTATTGAATTTCTTCCTGCTTCTTTTTCTAAAAAGCTAACCTTTTGCAAAAGATAGATATATCTTTTATATGGGTAAAGTAAGCAGACTCTGCTGAGCTACCGCTTATCTTCCTAAGAAAGTTTGCATCACAGAAGAAAAGCTATTAGATGTCTGACACCCAGACCAGAAAAATGAAGCAATCCGCACATTTTCTCCTATCACCTTTTTATGGCTTAACCCCAAGCCGCTTTCTGGATGTTATAAAGCTTTCAACCATCTGGCCCTTCTATGGGTCTCAGATGCACGAAACTCCCAACTACCCACGAGTATGTATGTAATAGAATTCGTATGCAGGGCTAGACAGTGGCACAGTGGTGATGCTATTGGACTTACGTGAGAAGGTCCCAGGTTAGTGCCCTGGGGCCTCTCTGTATGTGCCAAGGCCATGACCCAGGATGAGTGAGGCTAAAGGTGGATCATGGTGTGAAGACCCTATTGAGAATGTCTCTCTCATTTTCTCACTGAAGAAAAAATAACTGTTTAAAAAGGTATGCCTTTTTTTCCCAAGTAATCTAGTTGTCAGTTTTAGCTCCTCAATTGAAAACTGTTAAACCTTCAAAAGGGAAAGAAAACTTGCAGTTTCTGGGACCAGCAGTTAGCGTAATGGCTATGTCGCTGGACTCCTACGTAGTCGACCGCGGTTCGCGTCCTAGACCCGGTGGCTTAAAACTCATGCTGGGCGCGTGTGCGTGCGTGCCCAAGATCCCGAGAGGAGAATGGAGGAGAAGGGATTGCGGCATGGCCATCCCCTCTGAGGGGTGATTTCTCGCTTTCTATCTGTCTCTCTCTGTCTGTCTGGTGAGTGCACGTGCCCTATAGCAAAAACCTCTCAAAAAAAAAAAAAAAGAAAAAGAAAACTTGCAGTTTCCCTCCAATGGAACTGTTTGTTATGTTCATTGTGGTGATAGTTTCTCAGGTGTGTACATATGCAACAATGGATCTAATTGAACACTTTAAATATATGAAGTTTGTACTTTGATTATAATAATAAAGTTATTTAAATGGACAAAAAATTTGGACACTTAACAAATGAAAAATACAAGTTGGCAATATGCAATAGAAAAGATGATCAACACTATTGGTCATTAGTAAAATGCAAATTAAATCATAATGGTGGGTCCAGCAGATGACATAATGGTTATGTCACTGGACTCCCATGTAGTTGACCGTAGTTCAAGTCCCAGACCCAGTGGCTTGAAACTCATGCTGGGCACGTGCATGTGCATGCCCAAGATCCTGAGAAGAGAATGGAGGAGAAAGGATTATGGTGCAGCCAATTCCCCCCTTCCCTCCAGAGAGGGAATGACTTCTCGCTTTCTGTCTGTCTGTCTCTTTCTGTATCTCTGGCAAGCACACGTGCCCTTAGCAAAAATCCCCCCACCTCCGCAAAAAAAAAAAATCATAATGAAAATCATAATGGTGTACCCACTACACTTCCACTGGAATGGCAAATATTTTAAAATTATAGTGAGAATGTGAAGAATCTAGAACTTTTTTATACATCTCTATTGGGAATGTAAAAATTGCATATCGGCTTTGGAAACAGTTTGGAAGTTTCTTTTTTTTTGGAGAGGTTTTTGCTATAGGGTGCATGTGCTCAGAAAGTGAGAAATCAACACACACACCCCACAGGGGGAATGGCCACGCCACACACACACGTGCCCCGTGTGAGTTTAAGCCACCGGGTCTGGGACATGAGCCACGGTCAACTACATGGGAGTCCAGTGACATAGCCATTATGCCAACTGCTGGTCCCACAGTTTGGCATTCTTATTTCAGTTAAACTGATGCTTACTATATAATCCAGTCATTCAAATCCTAGCTATTTACCTAAGAGAAATGAAAACTAGACTCACACAAGGTTTTGTACATAACCAGTATGTCACCATTATTCATAACAGAAAGAACCAAGATGTCCAATCAGGGATGAGTGTTGAACGGTATACTACTCATCAAGCAAAACGAGCAAACAGTATACCCCAGCAAGGACAAACTTTAAAAACAGTGCTGAGTAGAGGAAGCTGCATACAAAAGAATATGTACTGTGTGATTCTATTTCTTCTAGAATGGGCGAGATGAAGTCATAATATCAAACTCAAGTCAGTGGTTGTTTGGGATTAGGAAGGAGTTGGGGGATTATCTGAAAAGAGACATTTTTATACATTAACTTGGGGGTTATTTCATGGGTATACAGATTTGTGAACAGTAGACTTTATGGTATGTGTAAATTTAGGTCTCGATTAAGAAGATTTTTTTGAAGGATGACTACAGAACATGAGTTAAAATTATGGAAAGCTAAAGAGATTAAAACAAGTTGTATTGGTACCAAGAGACAAAAAGAGATGGATAGAAAAATGAATAAAAGTTAGAAACCGACTTGAGTTTGCAATAGTTAAGCGATTAGAGTGTGGCTGTCTTGGTCATTTGAACCAGACTCGGGGAGAAGGCCGTTATTCGTGAATAACATTGAGTCGTCTGACTAACAAATCAGAATGTAAGACGAGTCTAGTGCAACTGAGGAACAGCCCGTCAGAGGGAAATGAGCAGCTAGAGATGGCCGTGCATCTCCGCAGGGCTTCCAGCAACGCGCGGCAGTTCCCCAGACCCTTGGGATTCCCTCACCTCCTCGCTGGAGGTGTTGGGTCACCCCAAGAGTCTCTGGGCAGAAGTGACCAGGTGAGCTCGCTGGCCTGAAATGGAGAGCTGATCTTATTCCAGAAGATGTTTGCATTCTCTTTATTTCCCCCAGTCTCTTGGGGAGATCTGGATTAAACTGAATCAAGAGGCAGGTGAGGGTGCAGGTGCTGAGTGCTTGGGCAAGAGTCTCCATGGTAACGGAGTCTCCATGGTGATAGAGCCATCTGGTGTTGTGCCTGGCACCAGGCCTTATGGCTTCATGGCCGAATCCTCTCTCTGCCGGCAGCAGGGGTTATGTGAGGGTGAGGAGGAGGCCAGGAGGGAGAGATCTGTGGAGGGAGTCTTTGTCTTCTCAGCCAGTTTGGAATTTAGACCTGGGGCTATGCTGACTCCAGAGCAGAACAGGACACCCGAGGTGGTGTCTGGGAATGTGAGTGAAACTGTGCACATGTTACTTTGCTGACCCCTCTGGGGAGCTGGCAAGGCCCACCTGGTCTCATTTAACCCAGAACTCACAGGTGAAGTGGAACCAGGGCCAGGCAGGAAAGACAGAAACTTGGGAGAGTTTCGGCTCGCCACGGGGAGAACAGCCACCAGACGGCAGGAAGAGGAAGGCTGCAGGTGAGGGAGCCACGGTGATGGTCACCAACCTCTGCCCCTAGGCAGTCCTGAGAGCCCTGCAAGCCTGTGCTAAGTAAAAGTGAGCCCTCAGCAAACCTTCGTGTTAGCGTCGAGGGCTGCCGTTACAAATGACCACAAACCTGGTGACTTCAGACATCGTACGTTTATTCTCTCGCAGTGCTGGAGGCCAGAAGTCTTAGGCTGAGGCGTCCGCAGCGTTGGTTCCTTCTCGGGGACTCAGAGGGAAGACCTGTTCTGGGCCTTCTAGCTTCTGGTGACAACTGGGGTTCTTTGTCTTGTAGAGGCATCGTTCCAATCCTTGTCTCTATATGTCACATGACATTTTTAAAGAGAGGCTTTTGCTATAGGGCATGGGCACTCACCAGAGACACAGAGACAAAGAGAGGGGAAAGTGAGAAAATTCACCCCAGAGGTGATGGACATGCCGCTATCCCTTCTCCTCCATTCTCCTCTTGGGATTTTGGGCATGTGCACATGGTGTCTGGTATGAGTTTCAAGCTGCCAGGTCTGGGACTTGAACCATGGTCTACCATGTGGGAGTCCAGAGCCTTAACTACTATACCACCTGCTGGCCCCACACAACATATTTTAAAGACGCCCATCATAAGATTTAACCCAACGTGACCTCATCATAATTTGATCACCTCTGCCGAGACCGTATTTCTAAATAAGGTCACATGTCTAGGTGCCAGGACTCAGTACGTCAACACACCTTACAGGCACACACAGTAACACAGAAGTGACAGGGAGAAGGGCACAGCCCTCAGAGAGGCAGGCTTGGGCCCAAACCTTGGCACTGTCACTTGTCTTCTGTTTCCCCAGCTCAGCAACGTTGGAAAGGCAAGTCTGACCTGGTGGGCTCCTGAGGACTTCCTGAGTGAGCACCAGAGTGCTGTGGAGCTGCCGGGGAGTGACAGTGTCTCAGACAAGTTAGCCTTGAGCTGGATCCTGGGGCTCAGAGGAGGGCCTGGCCCTGCTCTCCAAGAGGGAGGCTCCATGTGGCCAGGCTACAAGCAGGAAGTTAGGGGCAAGCAGAGGAGGGGACTTGGGTTCAGAGGCCCTGGCAGGGGTCAGGAGAGCCAGGGTCAGACCCCAATAGGCCTCTCCATGGGATCCAGCCACAGTGAGTCAGGCTGAGGGCTCACAGGCTCAAAAGGTCCCTCCAAGTACCCAAGACAAGCCAGAGCTCATCTGGCCCTGACAGACAGTGTGGGGAGCAGGCAGATTCACCAGGTTCTGCAGACTTCGATGTCCCCTCCGTGTCTGGGAAGCCACTTCTCATTCCCTCCCTCACCTTCTCCCAAGACGTGGCTTCTCCCTCCTATCAGCATAGAGTGTGGTACAGACTTAGTTCCTGGCCAGCCCTTGTCTGATCATCTCTTTCTTTCTGCCCTTTATTCCTCCCACCCTT